TGTAAAGAATGAGTGTAATTTGTAATTCGTTTGTAAGTTAGTATTTCCCTGACATATATATTGTCCTAAGAATTTTTACAGTTGTAATTTTTTATAAGCTACTAATAAACATTATTGTTATTATTATTATTATTATTATTATTATTATTATTATTATTATTATTGTTACTATTATTAAATGTAGCCGGCAACAGGCTAAAATTTTACGTTCTTGTGCACATGGATGAAGATTTCTCAAGTTATTAAGATCACTCGCTCGTTTCGATTTGAACGGCTGTGTGTTTTCATAGCCGCAAGAGTAGGGGGAAGGGATCCAGTTCGATTTTTTCTATTTATTTATTTATTTATTTATTTTGGTAAATTTGAATTTATGCGACGCTCGAGCACAGCTAGTTCCCGACCTTTATTATCCAATCAGAACAGCACGAGCGCTCGATCGAGAGTACTCCGAAGGTTTTTGACGCCATCACGGCGATACCAGTTGCTTGGCAACTGAGGGCTCAGTATTTTTCACGTGCGATAAGTTGCCGCACGAGGCACATGCACCTGAACAGACACGACACGTGCATAATTCGATGCTTCCAACGCTCGAATAAATTGTCCTCCAACCGGTCAAAAACGTTTCTGGAGTTAAATTCACATGATAGCATCGCTTCATTGCGGAATATTTGTTCTTCTTGATATTGAGCGAGGCGTTTCAGTGTTTTTATTTTATACCCATGTTGAGCTATTCATGTACGGGCATATGGCACAGCTGTCGGCGAAAATAACACTTAATGATTTTTAATAGGCCTTGGGTCGAAAAACCTGCAACACGAAATCAAGAGTTTATATTTGTCAGTTTCTATACGAAAAGAAACATGAAATGCAAAATAAAATCACGATTTCGGAGATCTTAAAGTATTTGCTGCTACTCTAAAATCTGATTTGAAATAAGGTTGGATAGGTGTATCCAGTTGGTATATTGCGATTTGTTTCATACAGAAACGTTTCAAATCCAAGATCACAAGTCGATCGATCTTAAGTCGTTTTTCGCCTGAGTCAAAAGCCTTCATCGTTTTAGGCAAGAAACGTTTCATACTTCCCAGCCGTTTGAGATCGCGCGGCGAAACAGCTCACATGGAACAATCCGCATGCACGTTTCACGGTGTATGCCCAGAAAACGTGACCAAGTCACCTTTTTTGCAAGTGGCCAAGTGATTTGCGTGATGATAAACAAATTCTGCACGTGAAGAAATGTTATTGTTTACAGCTGCGGACCAATCACAAGGGGTTTTGATAACTCCCGGCAGCCTCAGTTTTTAGCGCGGATGATGCACTCGCTCGCAAATCTTTTCCCGGCACGTGAAATAAACAAGGAATTGAGGAAAACGGTTAGAGGAAACGGCTTGTGGAAGAAGCGCGAGTTAAATTAAAAGCTTAGATCAATTCCAAAAGAGAAGAGCACAAACGTAACTGATTCAGTTGAATGTAGAGATCAGCTGCAGCCCGTGTACGAAACATCCAGGTGGGGAAAACAACAATACGGTATTTTGGTTTACGAGTTGCATATAAAGCTAACGCTCAATGTCGGTAACAACATTGCAGACGTTTAAGTACAGTGCTTGATTCTACTTTTTGCCTAAACCTTTCCGTTTTTCTCTCAGATCGAAGCGCAAACGCCATGAATTCCAATTTCTTAAAGGATTACATGGACTTGGACGAGTTCCTGGCCGTCAAGGATTTGTGTACTGGCCTCTCACGGACCGAAAGTGATTACTCGGAGGACGAAATAGATCAGGACATTGCCAATCTTGTGGGCGATGAAGATAACACTACCATCTACGGTTTGCCGTCTTCCCAGTTCAATACTCCACAGCTATCTCCCAGTTGCTTTGGCAGTGATACAGACGAAGGAAGAGGTGAGAGTGTCAGCTCTGAAAATGTTGCTTCCTTGAGCTCCAGCGAGTCGCTCAATTCAAACGAAAACGACAACAAGGTGGTGCCGCGGAAGAGGAAGAGAAAATCTGCAGCAAATGATACGGCGACTCAGAAAGCAGCGCCGAGGAGGAGACGGAGAAAGACGGAAAACGCCGACAAGAAAGCGGCGAGTGGTGCTTCAGCACCAATCGTGAACGAAGGTGAAACGTCTAAACTCGTTGGGCTATGCCAGAGAGGTTCCCGGCAATCAGTGGACGACGAAGCGAAAGATGACAAGTACTGGGAAAGGCGGCGAAAAAACAATCAAGCAGCGAAAAAATCACGAGATCTAAAGAGACAGAAAGAAATGTGCGTTGCGGAAAAAGCGGCATTACTGGAAGAGGAGAACAGACAGTTGCGCGAGGAAGTTAAAAAACTTAAAGAGTACCTCAAAACTCTGGACAACAAAATTGGATGAATCTTGTGCCAACTGAAAATAAGTTATCGAAAAGGCCTAGTTATGTTAAGTTTAATATAAAATATTGTAAATAGTTGTGTAGAAATCAGGTTCACCTCTAGAAGGGGCAGGAGTGGGAAGTAAGGGGGGGGGGGTGGAAGGGGTCAGTCCCATATAAAGGGGAATTGGGTGATAATCATATTAATGGCTTGTTACAACTTAGAACTTAAATATCTTACATGACTACTTGGAATTATTCTGATACCTTTCAAAATATGATGAAATCAGAGACTTCCTGGATGACAAGATTAAAATCTGAAAGATAGACTTCAGTCAGTTTTGAAAATCTGAATTTGTGACTCATTCCAGAGAATGCCCCCCCCCCCTCCCAGCCCCCAGCAAAGAGGCAAAAGGAATGCAAAATAATCAGACTCACTACCTGGTTGTTTCTGCAATCAGCAATTTGCTAGTTACCTCTGAGACACTCTTTTCTAGTGATCACCCTTGTCACTTTAATGTGGGAGTCCTTACAATGAAGAAGCCAGTGAGGGTGGGGCAGCACTTCTGGGAAAATTTTCATGGAGGTGTTGAAACCCTTTCCCTATTTCTAGCCAAAACTTATCATTTTCCATACATTTTCCAGACTGTAGATGTATTGCACAAGTGAATTGCGAGGGAGTTACTAGGGTGCTTGTGACCCACTGGTTGTAAAGAATAAATAACAAAAATCGCTAATCCATGAAATTAAACATGCTAAAATTTAGTGGGCACATTTTTAATATTTGTTTCCAATGGAGAATTATTCTGGAATTGCATTTCCAAATTTTCAAGAGAAGGTAGGGGTGGGGTGGGAGCATGATATTAGTATTGCAACTACATGCTAGCATAGGACCTTCTCTGAGAGAATCCTGCCTACACTCCTGTAATTTCACACCACAACCATTGATAACTTGAAATAATATACTGTCTTGACGGTCTTATCAAAAAAATAAACTTAAAATGCTTATATTTGCACTAATTCCCAAGAGAGGTATAGAGAAGATAGGAGTTAATCATTGTCAGTTGGTGATTCATTCAGCAATTAAAATGTAAATAGAATTAAATTCCAAGAATATATAAACATTTTTCTACATGTATCCAAAAATGTGATTCCAAGAATCTTTTGAGGTGCTTATATTACCGTCATGATACTCTTGCATATACACTTCTAAAATATGGCTTGGGCCTTGAGATCAATAAAATTCATTATTATGTGTGTTATAGCTAAACTTATCATTTTCTTGGTATCTGTGATAGCAAACTAATATTGTGTTTCATGTATTTGTTTAGTGAGGTTGGTAAAGGATGTGAACACAAACTGAGCTTTAGCATTCTTTTTTTTTTTTTTTGCATGAAACAAATAACCACCTTTGTTCATGATATGCTTGGGTAAACAGCTGTAAGTCAAGATTTACTTGTGTGGCAGGCATAGCCTGAGCTCAACTCCACTGGGAGTGCCAAGCTCAGAATTGCCCAGTAAACAGTAAGTTATTTTGCGTCTCTTCATTTCAGCATTTGGACAAGTTTAAGCTTGAACTGCTATTAATTTGACTTAAATGACAAGAATCTAGTTTTTAGTTGGGTGTCAACTGATTTTTCTGGCTTCAACCCATAATACATTATTTTGAATGGTCATGAACTGGGATAAAACTTTTAATTTTCCACAAGATGTAAACTCAACTCCCTTTACCACCCTCACATTAATATGTTTTATATTGCAGTACTTTTACATGATGTGCTATATATTATATTGCATTCTTCCGTTCGTTAGATGAACATGTTTTCATAGAATGTTCATTCACTCTCCAAGAAAAATAATAAAGATTAGTTTTGATTTAAATGTGGACGTGCTTTTATTCCTTTTTGAAAATATACCATGTTCTGATTAGTTACGCAGTTGTTTTGCATATGGTCATGCAAGCATGGGGCTCTTTCAAAATATTGTTCAAATTTCCAGCAATTTCTGAGAGTGAATGGAACAGTGTTTTCCCCATGGCGTTAATCATAGGAATGGCTCCAAACACCAAGGTTTTTTCTGTCAACAAGGAAAAAAGAAAATGACAATCTTAAAAGCCAGAATCGAAATCGGGTCATTTGGGTCATGAGGGAGTCCCGTGACCACTTCACCATCAGGGAGCTGGCTGCCGGAAAGTGATTATTTTCAGTTTTTATCATGTTACCATTGCAAATATTAAGAGCTAACCAAGTAGGCTAACCAGAGCGCTCTGTGGACTAACCGGTATCCTAGTTAGGCTAACTAGAGTGAACAGTAGGCTAACCTGAGTTAAAAGCAGGCTAACCTGAGTGAAAAGCAGACTAACCGGGGTGCTATAAATAGGTAACCATACTTGTTCCCAGTGCATTCGGAGGTAATCAATCATTCCTGTAATTAATCATTATAGTGTTTTCCAGTTGACTGTCAGATAATGGACTGAAAATTTTTTGCAATTTTTGTGACCTCACAAGGTATACAGAAATGTGAATAATTTATTGTAGGTTTTGATTCATGTTACTTGTTTGTTTGTTTGTTTGTTTGTTTGGTTTTTCAAGGTAGATTGAATATCTTTGTTGTTATGATTAACAGGTACTGTAGCAAAAAACACAATCCTGAAAGAAGAGTGAACAGAAAGTGAAGAATGATCATCGCAGTTAATTTTCCAATTTAAGCAATTGGAAAGAAGAAGCCTGAAAAAAATCAGGGCTTCAACGGGATTCGAACC